GGAAACTTTTTCCTCGTCGAAGCAGAAACCAGGAGACTCTTGGGTATTTTCAGCAGAGTTCTTTATTGAGAACGCGCTGCGTGGCGCTGCAGTCATCAAAAGTCTGACTAAGGCTTTACATTGTAGTTTATATACATTTTAAGGGGGCAGTGCTTAGAAATGGAGACAAAGCACCTGGGTGACTACCTTAAACAAAGCATGCAAATGAAGTACAGGAATCAGCCCGACACCGGCCTTTTCCCAGCCTTGATCTCATCAGCATAACAGTGTCATTCAAATGCATAGGTGCTAATCCAATCAGTCTGACAGTCCTAATTCAATCAGTATAACTACTCAAAGACTGGGGCAGAGGCACCAAGAGCCATTACAAACAAAAGGTGATAGTCTCAGTAATCTGGTTCATTTGACTAACAATAAGAGAACAGGAACAGACAGGAACCTCTTGCTACACTTTGCTTAAGATAATCATTTGTCTGATGTAATTTACCTTAAATGCTAAATGCAATGTACTTCACCTTAGTTTTTCATGTAATGCGTCAGAACATAGGATCAGCATATTTTAAACAGATTCTTAAATTTGTAATCCCACACATTCATACTTTAATTTATATTAATTATATAATTTTTTAATATATTTTAATGACTGCTTATGTATTGTTTTGAAACATTTTTAGTGTTGTTCAGATTTATCATTAATCAGTATTTATTTTATTAAAAATAAGAATTCATTAAATAGGTTATAATTTATTATATTAGTTGTATTATATATTTTTTAAATATACAATGTTTAATATATAAAAAAAGATTAAAATATTTAATATTTTAAAACATATTTTTTAATATTAAATAATATATATCAAATTTCTATGATGCTACAATCTTCTTTCAACAATAAACAATTCAACAACCAGTGGCCCCATGTGCATGTATGCATTCTCTTCCCACATATTTTGGAAATATTTAGGAAAAATTGGGGTAAATGGTGAGGAAACATATAGATGTCATTGTGAAAAGTGCTATACAAATACATTTGAATGTCCAACCAGTCCACAACAATGACGTTAGCATCCTTCTCCCTGTTATAAAGTGCGGCAACCAGTTTCTCAACCCAGCTCTCAAACAATCCACTTACCTAAGGGAAAAGAGCTAATTTAACACTAACATATGGGACAGCTTGAAAAAGAATCAGCTGAATTTATTGAATGTTTGTAACCGTTGCTTTACCGTCCACCCATGAATGACCAAAAAGGTTTTGAAGTGTTTTTGAAGTTGCAGCTGCTGAGAGTCTCTGGTTTGCCACACACAATGTAACACACATCATCATCTGGTTGAGACGGGTTTCTCAGAGAAAACTCGACATTGGCTTTGTTGACATCTGACAGGTCCCTTAGATCCTCCAGGAAATTATCTATGTAAAGATGATGGCCATTCAAAAAATAATGTAGTACTATTAAAATGTACTTTAAATAAAATACATAAAGTCAACTTATAATTCAATATCAAATAAAAAGTACAATATTTTTGTATAATTTTAAAATACATTTTATTTTATTAAAAATTCTAGAAAACGGAGTATGTAAAAATATGTAATTGAAAAAATTCAAAATAAATAATAAAAAAAATTCATAAAAAATAAGTCAGTTATTTCATAATTATAAATATATATTATAAAAAATCTGTATTATAATTATATAATTTTGGATGTAAAGATATATTAAGATATAATATTAAAATAAGATTATTGTAAATTATTGTTATTAATTATAATTAAAAACCTATTAAATCCAATTAAAAATAACATTTGAATGGAAGGCATTAGTAATTGACAATCTCACATTTTTTCTTTGTAATTAAAACATTTATTTTATTTTATTTTTTATAATATTTAAGTACAAATAATATATACATAATATGAAATAAAATATGGAACAATAAAAATTAGGTTTAAGATGTGACAGCCTACTTGGCATGCTTAATAAAACGGGAGGACTATAAATATTTCCATAGTTCAGCTCAGTTAACAGGTGGGTGGAGCCATAATATCCTTATTTTACACTATTATCACACCTTTAATCGATGCGACATCAGATTGCACTCTGAAGATTACCTTGTGATGAGTATGAACTTGAAATGTACTTTTAAGGAATCCTCCTCTTAAAACAACACAAAACATAATCTAACATTCAGCTGACTCGAAGAAATGAGAAATAAATGGCCACTGGCGGCTTCTACAGGTTAATTCGTGGATTTAAATGCTCAGACAGATGCCGGATATTACAATTTTCCCATCATAAATGCAGGATTTGCGGTAGGAATTTAAAACAGAGACATTAAAAATTAAAGAATCGCGTCGCGTCCAAATAAAATAACGCCTAAGGTTACCCGAATCCATTTCTCACGGCGCATCAACAAACATTTCAAACATCTTACCAAAGAGTTCGTTCGAGAAGATTTCTTTCTCCAGAGCAGCGACGAACAGACCAGTGAAGTTTAATGTGATGAACTGGCAGAAGTAGGGTACATTCCAAAAATTCAATGCTGAAATTTCACAACAGTCTTGCAGGAGGTTCTGACTAATGAAAGTATCGGAATGTTGTATTTTTATTCCAAGAACTTGTTCTTCCACGAAAAAGGGGAGGGGATCTTAAAAAACAAGCTCCTTGTGTTTTGATTCGAAGTTGTTGCACGTGAGTCGCTCTCCCTTTAAACAATGTGAGTCAATTCACATTTTTTTTACACACACGTTATTTGAATGGATGACGCTCCATTCACATAACATCTTATATGAACGGAGCTAACATGAGCAAAACAGTGACAGGTGGATCTTTTTTAAAGGGGTCATATGATGCGATTTCAATTTTTCAAATCTCTTTGAAGTGTTACAAGCTCTTGGTGCATAAAGAAGATCTGTAAAGTTGCAAAGACTAGTCTCAAATCCAAAGAGATATAAAGTTAAGAGTCAGCCATGCCTACCTAAAACGGCTCGTTCTAACACACCCCCACATACCTACGTCACTATCTGGGAAGATTTGCATAACGCCGCCCAAATGTTCACGCAAAGAAAGAAGGCGTAACTTTTATTCTCGCTGTAG